CAGATAAGAGTGTATTTTCTCTATCCCACCTTTTTGGCAGTAAATCCTACACATAGACCTCAGATTTTTTTCCTAGAAAAAAGCAGAGGAATGTTCGCTCCTATATAGTAGATATTCCAAAATGATGGTACATGTCTATACAGATTTTGGGATCTGGAAAAACTAATTATAGTCTTTACTCAAAGGAAGTTGATTTCAAACAAAGGTCAACATTAGTCAGAATGTTGTATCACACCTAAGATTGAACTCAAATATGGTTGCTTTAGATAGAAAAGGTCCGATGAAAATCAAATTTCATAATCATATCAGGTACTTAAAATTCTTTAATCTTGTAAAAATCATATGATCCTTTAAAAATACTATTATACTTCTGTTCAGTTTTCAGTAAATGAAATTTTTATGAGTAAAAAATCTAGAGAGAAGTATGATCACATTCCTATCCAAACTATGTTTATAAGCAGTCTCACTGTATCAACAATGAGGCTGTTTGTGATTCAGTCACTGCGGTCCAATGGAAAGCATCTCCCCTGAATTTTAGACCAAGGTCTGTGAGGCTCTGGGCATGGACATTTTTGCAAACTCATATTTGTACTAGGATAATAAACAGCAGTTTCATGAGCAGTGAAGCAGGAGATCACTGATGCTAGGAGAATGGGTCAGAGAACTGTGCAAGAGTTGAGGCAGATCTGTCACAGATAGCTTGCTGGTGAAAGCACATGGATGCCTGTGGAGTTCAGGATGGCATGCTGTTCCATAATTCAGTGTTATATTTAATTCTACATTTTGAGGCAAGTGAATTGCTAATAATAAGACCTTCCCTCATTGGAAGAACTCTTTGACAATTCTCAACTTATTTTGTCACAGTCAGCTCCTTTAAATATTTTCCCTCTTAGGAAAAGCACTAAGGAAGTTCCTTTATAGGTTTTGCTTCTCAATACAGGAATTAAAAAAAAGATCAATATTTAACAGTTTTGTGCAAAGTTGAATAAATAATTGATTTTGTTTTGCCACTATAGAAGACAAAATTTAAAAACTTTGTGCCTTTGGGAAGCTGGGAAGCAAAATTGTTAGTGAATTAAAGTGGAAATGATGGTAATGCTAATAACCCAATAGGATGTCTCAGAACTATGGTTGTAAAGAAAAAGGAGGTCTTGTTGTCTAATTTAGGGTGGCCCAAACCAAAAAGTGTAATAAATGATATGTCTAGTGTTTTCTTTATGATTCTTTGCAATTCCCTTGGGCTTTGGGGATATATACTATATATAGATGTGAATACGAATATTTTAGGAGAGGGATAACTCTCTAGAACTATTGATCCAAGATGCACTTTTCATCAATACCCTTAAATATGAAGGCTTGGGAAATAGCATGAATAAATGTAAGGAAGTTCTTTCATATTTGAGCTTTGGGAATAAATAATTCCACTTCCCATCACTCTGTTATTTTAATGAATTTCTAGTTACTCCAACTAGATATTTGGTTATACTAAGAATTAGGGTTTGAAGCATAGAAAGCACTTCACATGTGTAGTATGGCATTACCTCTCTGAGTGGCACCGGCAAGAGAAATAAGTACAGTGAGGATGAACAAAGTTTAATGTTGATGGTATAACTGTTTAGCTCATTAACTATTAAGAAATATGCTTATAGTAGCACTATCTACAATAGGTAAGCTATGGAAACAACCCAAATGCCCCAAAATAGATGACTGGATCAAGAAGATGTGGTACATATACACAATGGAATATTACTCAGCAATCAAAAAAGATAAATTCATGCAATTTGCAGCAACATGGATGGAGCTAGAAGGGATCATGCTCAGCAAAATAAGCCAGAAAGAAAAAAGAAAAATACTGGAGGGTCTCACTCATAACAGGAATTTAGAAAACCTAAGTAAGGGATCAGGAAAAAGACTAATTATAATAAAGTAAAAATCAAAATTAACAAGCAACTATAAACCAGAGACTCACTATGGGGTGGGGCAGGGGAGAGAAGGGAGTAGGATCAAAACAAGGGGGCATGAGAATTGTATGGGGACTATAACCAAGATGAAAATGCATACATTGTACAAAAATGAAAAATGTAAAAAATATATAAAATAAAATTAAAAACTAAAGTCTTTTTCTTTATAATATTGAAAAAAATAGTCTAGCTGTGTGTGTATGTGTATATATATATATATATATATATATAGTTGTATATACAGTGCCATGTGACTACTTAATATCTTGCTTACCTTATGATATAATTTTTTTTGAATTTATTTATACAAGCACTGGGTACAGTCAGAAGCGCAGGAGGGTGAGAGAATTCACCAGAGCCAGAGCAGGGAACAGAACAGGCAGAGTGATGAAATATACTGCTGAGGGAAGCAGTGGGCGTGGCAGGAGAGGTCTGTGCACCTTGTGGGGCCCTTGCCCGGAGGCCAGGGATTGAACCAGTGCTGCAGACGCTGCGGGCAGCTTCCCAGCCCAGTGCTCAATTGGTGCGCCACAGGGGAGGCCCCACCTTATGATATAATTTTTGAAAAATCTGTGCCTGGGAAGTTTTATGGAATCCATTTGTGTATACTTCAAGGAAAGTGATATGGTAACAACTTCATATTAAACTCAATTCAGTGATGTTTTAATTTTGTTAAGAATTTATGAAAGCAAGTGTAATTTCTGAAGAATTGTAGCTATGTAGATAACTTATCTACATATATTATTTTTAATAGATACTCATTTTTAAATGACAAAGAGCACAAGTTCATATCTCTAGATGGGTGAGGGTTATTAGGAAGTTTGAGACTATTTCATCATAAAAAGTCTCAAGAATTTCTCTTTAGATTTGGCGTATTTGCACAGTGAAATACCACTCAACCATAAAAAAAAGATGAGCTTTCTTCATTTCCAACAATATGAATGGAACTGGAGAGGATTATGCTAGATGAATAAGTCAGAAGAACAACAAATGTCACATGGTTTCACTTATATGTGGAATATAAAGACACAAAACAAACAATTAGTTAAAGCCAGACCAAATAACAAACCCTAGAAATCTGTCTGTAGAATTAAGGTGACTGGGGGGACTGGGGAGTGTGGAGAAAAAATGTGGAGAGGCCCGTTAGACCTGGTGGAGGACTATGGGTGCATTGGTGGCAGGTGTGGTGTGGTGACATACATACATTTAAAGAGGTGAGATTCCAAACTTCTGAATCACATGTAGTGTTGTAAACCAATGTTACATCAGTAAAAAAAATCTCTCTTTAAAAAATGTGTCACGTTTGATGCAAAATAAAAGCTATACAATAGGAGTATATAATTTTCCACTGTCTTTCAAATGGGGAAACATATGTATTACTAAAACAAAGTTAGTTTTAGGGGCCTCCCTGATGATACAAGAAGTTAAGTCTCAGTACTATGAAGCTGTCAGCAGCCACTGCAGCACAAGTTCGATCCCTGGACCAGGAGCTACCCACATGGTGCAGCAGACCTCTCCTGACTTGCCCGCTGATCCCCTCAGCAATGTGTTTCTGTCGGTCTGCCTGTTCTGTTCCCCACTCTGTCTCTGGTAAATCCTCTCACCCCCACACCTCTGGCCAATACCCAGCTCTTGTATGCATAAATAAAATAAATCTTGGGGGAAAAAAGTTCGTTTTGAGGTCTCATCTTCAAAATAGCAACCAGAACTGATGGTACCCGTAATTTATTGAATTGAAATCTTTATTCCACAGAGATTGTGCTAAAATTATCTTTAGGACAAATAAAGTGCTGTGTGTAGCATTAAGAAACTCTTCACTTCTTTTACGGATGAGAGAGACAGTTTGTTGCTACTGCTTAGTAGAACATCAATCCCCAACAGAGATGTTTATTTCTAGAACTTGAAAGCTGTAGTAAGGGTGCTACCCTCCTTGGGACTGCTACTTTATAAGTTAACTGCAAAAAAAAATTATTTTGATAAATAAATTTATTTTGATAAATTTTGATAACATTTATTTTGATAAATTTATTTTAGAAAACACAATATGTTGTCAACAAAAGCTTCTTCCTTTTATCAGTCCCTATGCTAACATAAAATACTTTTAAACAGTTTTTTTTTTTTTTGTTGGCCTCCTTTCTTTGATTCATATATTCTTTGTTCCTTTTCTGTGTCAAAATAGAAGAAACATATGAATTAATTTGTAAGGAAGCTTTCTCAGGGATGCTATTTCAAAGAAATCTTTCCATAACTGAAAATGCTCTCTAAGGGCATTGTATAATATTTTCTATTTTTACATTGACAATTTACCATGATTATGGTACATATTTGATCTGTTTCCTAGCTAAGCAGGTATAAATGATAGAGTAACCCACTCTCCAAATGTTAAATGACTTAATTTTATATACCAAACTTTTCACTCTAATTTGAACTTTTATTACACATGTCTGTGTTACATATAAAATGTGTTCTGGTTACCCACCAGATTCTTAAAAGATAAGAAACTTTTCATTTCAAAACATACATATATAATAGTTTCCTCCAATGAGTATAAAAATGGGTTAAATGGCAGCTGTTCTACCTGTAGAAAAGGGGCTTCTGGCCCCTTCTCTTAAGAGTTTCCCTAAGTTTACCGGGTTATAATAACACATGCTTATTTCATTGAGTTTGCTTTTCTATCCAGAAACTACTTTTGGAAAAGTGGTGTATAATTTGTGTAATGTGTATGGATGCAGGTGGGGCTCCACAGGGTATTTCAGTTATGATTGCCTCTCAGTAGACATTGGTTCTACCTCCATAGACATCAAACATATCTTTCTTAGGATTTTGGGGTCACGACTCCTCAAGCATGGCAGTGACAGTGTTTTCACAGGATTTGGGGGGCTTGTTGGAGATTAGGCATTTATGAGCATAAGAAATGAGACATGGAGCATTACTAAGAGCCTTCTACCCACCAAATTCATATCTAATCTTACTCCAAAAATGTGAATTTAAAAAAGCTAATGTTGAAATTTTTCTTATTGCTAAAATGTTGTCTTTCAGAACGCTGCAAGTGTAAGCCTATTAGAGCTACACAGAAGACCTATTTCCGAAACAATTACAACTATGGTAAGGCTAACTTCATGCTTGACCTATAAACTGCTGTGTTTAAAGGGTGTGTGTCTGTGTAAATGAATAGAACAATTTAAGAATAAGGCTTAAAAACAAATAAGACAACTTCTAAGAGCAAAGGCTTCCTAGCCTCAACAATGAAAATGTCTCATGTGCAAAATTCCTAAAAAAAATGCTTCATTTTGAAGCACACAAGGCATTGATGGCACCTTAAAACCATCCAATCATGTGCACAGAGATACATTTCAAATTAGATAGGAGGGACTCTTCCCTTTCTGAGTGGTTGAAGAGGATTTGAACATGAGTGTTTAGCCTTGAATGAGTTATCAGCTGTGTTTTACCATCACTGGGGGAAGTGAAGGAAGAAGTCAAATTTGATTTCTTGAGTCTGTCTAATGGAAAACATTGCCAGATTTGGAAAGCAACATGGAAATTGTTAGTATTCAATTAAGGAAATGTTTTGTTATCTAGCTTGGCCTAGAAATGTGATATTCTTATAAAATATTAATTGAAGAGCTACTATGCAAATGGAGCTGACAAATCTAACTGAAGAAAGAAGAGGCACACTGTCTCTGGGGCGGTGCAATACTAGGTGGTTTCCATATACCATCTCATGTAATTTTCTCAGCTTCTCCCTTAGTTAGATGTATATCTAGTCTGATTTTATCAATGATTATTGAACCTAAGTTATAATAATGTACTTTTGGGCACTAGCATTCTACAGATATTTATATCAATTGCTATTATACTTAGAATGGTGAAATAATAGTTTTGCAGTTGATGAGACAAATTAATATTTACTATATATATTGAAATTTTATCTCCCCCCCAGTATCTATAAATCAATAAAGCTCATCCTATCTCTGCAATAGACTTTTTTTTAAATCTTTTTTTTTTCTGTAATTCTTTTTTTTTTTTAAAGATTTATTTATTTATTTATACAAGCACTGGGTATAGTCAGAAGCGCGGGAGGGTGAGAGAATTCACCAGAGCGGGAGCAGAGCAGGCAGAAGGACCAAAGTACACTGCTGAGGGGAGCAGCGGGCGGCAGAAGAGGTCTGTGCGCCATGTGGGACCCTCCTCCTGTGGCTGGGGAGCAGCCGGGGATCAAACCAGCGCTGCAGAGGCTGCGGGCAGCTTCGCAACCCAGCGCTCAACCGCTATGCCACCGGGGAGGCCCCTGCAATAGACTTTTGATGTCAAGTCAATGAGTAAACATAGCAATTAGATGTTTAAAGGGAACTTTGCTATTAAAATGAGTTGTGTTATTGAGCTTACATGTCCTATTTTAGAGGTTATAGGACATTTATCCTAAACTCAGCAGGGAAGGTAGAGGCCTCCAGCCTGAGAGGGATCTCAGGTATTTGTGCCTGAAATGCTACCATTATTGTTTCCTGTTTTAGTTAGGCATCCTCCCCAGTACAGATTTATTTCCACTTTTGTTCCTTTGGGGAACCAGAAGGGAGAAATAGGTAAAACTCTGTAAGAGTAATTTTTCATATCTTTGAAAATAGTGTATATTAAAAAATATAAAGTAGAAAATTATCAGTTTAATTTCTTTGAAATAAATGCACCTAGTTTCCCACGATTTTCTTGAATATGTTTTTACATTTTGCTTACAACTCATCTTCAGAGAAATCTAGTTACTTCAGACAATGATAGACACACTTTCCAAAGTTGAAAGGTTAGGTTTTTCTTTCCCAAGAAGTTTAATACCAGGTTGCTTATCTGAAGACCCATACCTCTGTAAATTGATGTGAAAAAAAATCACAGGAAAAGGGGAGGCTTAATTATTGGGAGATAAGCTTTCTAGATTGAAAAATGTTATATGAACTTTTTAGTTATACTAAAAACAAACACATAATAAAATGTATTAGTTATAGGAAATTTAGTTATGTTTGTATTTATTTTACCTATCATTTTTTACTTTATCCAACTTCCTTCATCATACAATGAATGGTTGGTGATGCTATTTTTGTTAAAAGCTATAAGTCATGGAAAGACAACCTTAGACAAAGTAGCTGACCCCTATCTATAACATACACTGGTACATAGATCACAATTAATGCAAAGGACACCATTTCTTTCCATAGTAAAACAATTAACGAGGTTGCCTATAGTTTAAGTATTTTCATGAGGTGCTTTGTTAAAGATTCTATGGTGAAGGCAGACATTCAAATGTTTAAACAGAAGGAAAAACTGAAAAAAAAAAAAAAACTATTTTCAATCCCAAAATATGTTTTTATCTTTCTTAAATGTCTGTATGTGCCTTTGTGTTCCTGTCTGTATGTAAAAACAAAGTGAGGCTGGGGGTAATTAATAATGCAACAAAACTTCTGCTTTATTCAGATTAATTCAGGTAAATGCTCTTGAAATTTAACAAAATTATTTCAAAAATAAAGTAAGTCTTGTAGAGAGATGTTTATTTTGGAGTAGGTACATGTCTAAAAATTTCTAATGAAAATACTGACACACTGGGTAAATAAATCATTAGTTTGAGAACGTTTGTACAGTTCACTAATCTCTAATTGCTGATGGATGCTATATGCACTTTTACATTAAGCCAGGACACAGAAATATGTCTTCTGGCTGGGATACGGAATTTATCATTTGTTTTATCCAAGTGACATATCAGAAAGGGCAGCCTTATCTCTTGTTAAAATACAGAATAGAGAGAACACTAATAGGAAGAGATTCCTTTGCTCACCAAACAGGGAAAGCTTTGGTATGCTCAAACATGAGACAATAAATTTTCTGATGATTGAAATACTTGTGAAGCAAAAATGAGGTTTGGTTCTAAAGTTTTTAGAGTTAGTGACTTAATTTTTATCAAGTGCCCATTGTAACGCTGGAATGTTAAGTTCCTGTATGGCATTGGGGCATTGATGAGAGGGAAGATTTATTAACTGACTTTATATTTTCATGATGGCTTTTTTACATTCCCTTGTAGTCTAAAACCCCTAAAATACATGGGAAGGGACTCAGATGGAAGTGGTTTGCAGATATGTGCCTAAGAGGTTTTTTTAAAAAGTGGGTTCATTTGAATAGGTTGTATTTTTCTCTGCTTAACATCCCTGAATATTGAACTAGAGAACTGAAGTTGCTTGGGAAAAACCATTGGCTTTTTAATGATAGACATAAAAATGTCTACTTCTTCTTAGATCTTTTCAAATTCCTCTTTAAAACAAACAAACAAACAAACAAACAAACAAAAACACTCTTACCAGAAGTAGGAATCTAAAGGATTTAACTCTTCCAAAAAAAGAGAAATACAGAAAAAACAAAACTGAGTCAAACACTCTGATTTTGCAATTGAATTGAATGTTTTTTAGACATCTGATAGAAGAATGCTAACAGGGAAACAAGGCATAGTTGAGTGCTAGGTACTTACATATTATGAAATTAATGCAACTTAAATGTTGGCAGCAATTGAAACTGTACATAAACATTTAAACACATCCAAAATGAAATTTTGGGGGAAAGTTTTATCAGATTTATTCAACCTTTGGTTATCTGGTTGCCTTCATCACAATGACATCCAGGGGAGTCTGCATTTCAGACACGTCTCTGTGTGCATGAACGGAAGGGGCAGGTCTGTTGTTTATTGTGTTCCTCTATTTTTATTTTATTTTATTTTATTTTATTTTATTTTAATTTAATTTAATTTATTTTTATTTTTATTTTTATTTTATTGTGTTGTTTATTGTGTTTATCGCCATCTAATGCAAAAGTATCTGATTGGCTTTTCCTCTTTGTTCATTTAAAGCATCAAGTTGTTAAGAATTGACTAGGAAGAAGCCTACTTATCTGTCCTGAATGGGACATCTATTTTGTATCACATGACTGTATCAGTTCTATTGTCTTTTGACAGTCATTCGGGCTAAAGTTAAGGAGGTAAAGACCAAGTGCCATGATGTGACCGCGGTTGTCGAGGTGAAGGAGATTCTAAAAGCTTCTCTGGTAAACATTCCAAGAGACACTGTTAACCTTTACACCAGTTCTGGCTGCCTGTGTCCTCCTCTTAATGTTAATGAGGAATACATCATCATGGGCTATGAAGATGAGGAACGTTCCAGGTATGCTTTTTTGAAATTCAGAATAATTTCTATGCCTTTCCTATTTTTTTTTTTGAAGATTTATTTTATTTATGCATCCAAGAACTGGGGTATAGGCCAGAGGTATGAGGGGCGGGGATTGAGAGGATTCACCAGAGATAGAGTGGGGAGCAGAATAAGTGGATCTACTGAAGTACACTGTTGAGGGGGAACAGCAGCAATACAGGAGTGGTCTGCTGTGTCATGTGGGTCAGCTCCCTGGCTGGGGATTGAACTTGTGCTACGGATTGCTTCATAGTGCTGCGACTTAATCCCTTGTGCCACCAGGGAGGCCTGCCTCTCTTATTGCATTTCTCTACAGCTCTTGCTCTGAGATTCTTAGGTTAGGATCTGTCTGTCTGCTAGAAGATCACAGAGAATTGTTAGTTGGGTCCCTCAGTTTCACATATTGAATAGAGAAGTGTATGTGTGCAATTTATGGATATGCCTTTCTGGGAAGAGAATCATGGTTTCATTTGTTTCTTAAAAGGGGTTCATGACTCCCTAATAGTTAAGAATTACTATTCTAAAATGTTACTGTTCTATTCTTGGTAGTGATTTTGGTATTTTCAGTAACCTATTTTAATTTTTCAAAAATGATTGGTTCTTTAAAAATACAGATTACTGTTGGTGGAAGGTTCTATTGCTGAGAAATGGAAGGACCGACTTGGTAAAAAAGTGAAGGTGAGTCTATATTTTACATTAAAGTGATATATAGAAAATAAAAGTAGGAAAATAACCTTTTAGCATTTAAACAAAATAACTGCCTTCAACTCATGACAAATATTAAAACCTGAGCTATATGTGTAATAGGTAAAACTCCAAGGCCCAAATTTTCTTTAGTGCCCGTTTCTTGTAAGGAGGGAGTTCTTGGTATGTATATCAGAGATTAAAGTTGTTTAACTTCTCGTATTGAGAAGTTAGTCCAGTCCTGCTAGCATGGCTCCACATTACCCTAGGCCTTTAGATCCTAGTTTATTTTGCTACCACTTTTAAGAGTGTTGCTTTCATACTTATGTTTATGGAGGTTCCACCTCCAGCTTCAGACCTGCATTCCAGGGAGAAAGAAAAGGGATATGAAAAAGAGCTTTCCAAGTGCCCTAACAATTTTTACTTTTAAGTGGATCCTGCATCCACCACTAGCTCCTAGAGAAGGTGGGAAATGCAGTTTTTCAGCCGAGCATATTACTCCCTTGAACAAATTGTAGTTCTGTGAGCCAAAGAAGGGTAGAACACAAAGGAGAGCTACAAACAATTAGAAGCAGTATCCTATGTGCAAGGTACAGCCTTATTTATCTGTAGGTAAGAGATGTGACCAAAGTAGTTCCTTGGCTTTATTTTGAAGCCAATGACTCTTGGATTTTGGAAGTGATACATTTTTATTCAAAAAAAAAAAAATCACACGGTGATCTACTTTGTTATATATGGCTGCATTTCTTCTTACTATAGGAAGCAAAATCTATTTCAAAGAAAAAAACACAGGGCAGAATGCACAGAGGGGCAAAGAATCAAAAAGGTGTGTGTGTGTGTGTTGGGGTGTGTGTGTGTGTGTGTTGGGTGTGTTGGGTGGAGCACTGGTGGAGGGGACAGTGGGAATTGTACCAAACATAATACATCCTCTTCTTTCTGTGAGTTTGAAAGCTTGGGAAACATTTACAGTGTAAGTTAAACACCCCTGGGCAGTTTATCTTCTACATCTGGCATTTGACACAGCAGACACATTGGAATTTAAGTGGCCAACAAAAACGTAGAGGGCATGATTTTGCATCACTGAGCTCTTTTTCCCTGGTGTGTTTGTCAAATGTCAAATTGAGATGTATTTTAAGCTCATACTTGTGGCATTTCTCTATTTGTATCATTCTTCGATTAGTTTGGTGTTTATTAAAAAAAAAAGCTCTTCTTCAGTGCAGTGGAATCTCTAACTGTTCTTTTAATTTGGTTTTCTGCGTGCTAATGCAGAACAGGAATTTGTCCTAAATTCCTGTACCAGTTGGAAGAACTTTCAACATCCCTGCTGCAAAGCATGTAACAAAGCTTGCTACTTCTCTTTTGGTAGCAAAACAATGTCATGGAAAGACCTAGGACATGTGGTTTGTTTATTTCTTAGTAAGGCAAACATTTTCCATTGCTTCCTGCAGGGGTTCATAGAGTTAGTACTATGAAGTCATTTATATACTCAATCTGGTTTTAGACATGCTAATGGGGAGAATTAAACAAGCAATATTTTAATTCATGTGCCTATGGACAGTTAAAGCTCTAGGGTAGAAACAATCTTTTGACTAAAAATTATTGGGATCCTTACTTTTGCTTTTCAGTCAATCTAAGAATTTAATAGTCTTATAAAGAATACTCTCTGTTTTTAAAATAATTATTGCCACTTTCAGCTGATTCTTTGCTTTCAGTGGATATATCAAGAATAAAATAAAACCCTTTTAGTGATTTTGCTGTGGAAATGGCTGTTTACCTAAGCCTGTTACAGCAGGTTGTTTAAATCAAGATGCTTGAGGAATTGAGAATCAGACTGCTTTCTAATATGAAATACAGTAAGATTGTGGTATAAAATGGGCTAAAATGAATTACATCTAGTGATGGAAAATGATCATTTATTATGTACTAAGCCCTTTATACATTTTTCATCTCTTCAAACTTCTTATAAGCAAATTCTATTATGTCCAATGAATAAATGATGAAAATGAAGTACAGTGAGTTCAAGAAACACTGCATGGTAACTGATAGAATTTGAACTTGGGCAATCTGACATTAGCTCCTTGTTATCCAAGGGTAGTCCCTGGATCAGCAATATTGGCATAATCTGGAAACTTGCTAGGTTTGAAAATTTGGGGGTTCCATCCCAGACCCACTAAATGAGATTGTGAAGTTTTCATAAGACCTTCAGGTTGTGTCTGTTTTCATTGATCTTTGAGAAATACAGCTGTAGTTCTTCTCTTATTCACTACCTTTTATACTTGTAATATAATCCCCTTTTGTTACATTTTGTAAGCATTATTGACATTGCTGATAGGAATATTAGTAAACTTCACTGTGGTTATTAAAACTTAGAATGAGTTGTCTGCTTTGTGTGTAGACATTACTTAGAAAATTTTGGTAGATATTACTTAGAGAAATTTGCATTTTTTTCACTGCTCAGATCCTACAGATCTTAAAAGGCTATGTTCTAACATGTCATAAAAAAAGAAAGATGAAAAAAATGGTCTATTCTCCAAATTCTTTATATAAATCTTCTATTTTCTGTTGATCACTTGTGAAGTGTCAGACTTGTGTTTGTTCCTTCAGGAAATAACCCCCAGGTATCAATAGACATCTGTAGCACCATTTCTAATGTAGAAATTTTAAGGCTGCAGTTTGATATGAAAGCATGACTGATTTATCAATTTTGAGTTTTTAAAGTCAAAGAATTGTGTTCATACAACATCAATCTCATTGTCACTCTGGGATATGGATTTTATACTTTTGGGAGAGTCTTCTGTAAAATACTTGTGAAATCTCACTGCCTAATAGCTAAAGAAATAGACGTGATGACCTCAGTGATAGGAACCTGTGACCATTTTCTGTCCTCAATTTCACAGCGCTGGGATATGAAGCTCCGTCATCTTGGACTGAGTAAAAGCGATTCTAGCCATAGTGATTCCACGCAGAGTCAGAAGTCTGGCAGGAATTCTCAGTCCCGGCAAGCACGCAACTAAATCCTGAAATGCAGAAAGAACATCAGTGGATTTCCTACTAAGACTTGCATTGCTGGACTAGCAAGAGAAAATTGCACTATTGCACGCCATATTCTATTGTTTACCACAAAAAATCATGTGGTAACTGATTACTTCTATTTTCTCTTTTCTGCTTTTCTTTTCCTTTCCCCAGTCCCCCAACTTTTTTGTGGTTTGGGTGCAGATCCTTAAAACATATGTATTCTATTTCGCTAATCATGGGAAACTTATTCTTTGCAATAATGATAAATTAAACACATTGGTATCAGGGCCTCTGGCTGGAGTACATGTTAATTTACCATTCTGTGCTTGTCTGGATGGGGAATGCAATATTGGATGCACAGAGAGAGTTCTGGTAAACAAAGATACCCTGTAAAATATACTCTACTGATCGAATTACAGCCTCATTTTGCCTTGGGGGCATTCTCACACTTAGGAACTCTAAATGTGTATAAAGGTGGGATGGCAGTTTGAAATCAAGTGCCACACAGGCAAAGCAATCAAGCATTTATGAGGAAAGCATTTATGAGGGAACGACACGTAAGATGAATTATTTTCAAGATTGGCAGGAAACAAAGTAGTGTTAGGAGTTGGGGAAAGAACATTTTGCCTGATTGAGAAGCACAGCTGAAACCAGTAGCTGCTGGGGTGTTAACAGTAGCATTTTTTCTTTTGGCAATACATTTCATTTGATTATGAATATATTAATCAGCATTAAGGAAGTGAATTACAACTAGACATCTGCTATTGTCAGTATAGTTCTGTTTAATTTGCGTCCTCAAATTAGCCATTTTGGTGTACATCTCTTTTCTTCTTTTAAATAAAATAAATCTGACTTGCTGCATTGACCAGAGAAAGAAAGTATGTGTGCATGTGAACCGGCATGTTATTTTAAAAAGGTATGTAGTTCTATAAAATGCTATAGTTGCAGGGCATAAAATGTGCAAGGTTCTTCTTTTGATGTGGGTGTGTGTTTGTTCATGTGTGTGTCTGTGCACTCACAGCCAAGCTGGACTGAATGACAGGCCTAGGCACAGGCCTGCACTTTAGTATTTGGATTTGGGATGTTTCATGCTCAGCAAAATGTCTAATAAAAGAAATTATGGTTGTTAGAAGAGAGAAGTTATTCTGACTCTTAAACATAATTGTGCCAATCATCTACAAGTCTTATTGCCTTCAATTTACGTAATTGATATCAGTAGAACCAAATTTCTAAGCTATGGTGCTGAAAATATAACAGCTGTGAAGCCCATTGGTACTGTTTCCTTCCATAAGGACAACCAGGCAAGAAGGAAAATCTTTTCTGAACAAAAGCTTCTTAAAATGGCAAATGATAATTCATCTAAATTCTCTTGTGCAAGTAAGAGAACATCTTGCCTTCTGACAGAGCCCCAAACTCCAACAAGTTCCTCAGTTCCAAAAGGAGAGTTCTACCGTTGCTTTCATGAAGACTACATAACCTCTGGAACTGCCACGGGGTTGCTTTCAGATAATTCCAACATCTGCCCTTTGGTCTTTATTCCCAGATGGCTAGTCTGGGTATAACATTTTCTCCATGCTGCTGTTTTTTATTATTTTTTTTAATTTTAAGATTTATTTTTATGTATGCATGCAAGAGCTGGGGTGTAGGCCAGAGGTGTGGGTGTGGAGGGTGGTGGTGAAAGGATTCACCAGAGACAGTGGGGAGCAGAACAGGCAGATATACTGAAATATGCTGCTGAGGGGAGCAGCAGGGAGACAGGAGAGGTCTGCTGAGCCATGTGGGTCAGCTCCCTGGCAGGGGATCAAACTCTTGCTTGCAGTGGCTGAGGATAGCTTCATAATGCTGAGACTTAACCCCTTAAGCCCCCAGGGAGACCCTCTCCATGCTGCTGTTGTGGCATAGAGGGTGAATTTGGGTGTCATAGGGTAGAAATGAAGAGGCACAGTGGGTGAACTGCACCTCAGAATCACTGGTCCTGCTGTCTATGCTTCGACTTGAGCTTCAAGGACTGATGACTGGCATGTAGGGCTTTTACGCACCATCCCATTTTCCTCATGCCTCTTCATGTTCACTGTGGGAAGAGAGGCAAGAATCGACAGCACAAGATTTAGAGAGATTGGTGTCTCCATCCAGCTATCATCAACTCTTGCAAAGCATAGCAAGAGAAATGTATATGGTGAAATAGTTTGATTTACAATGAAAGCCATAGATGCTTTCAGCCTCTGCACTTTTTTTTGGAGGTAGAACAATAATTTTTATGTAGAAATTCAAAACAATTTATGTGCAATCCATATACAATTGATATAAGCAAAAAGAGGACTACAGTCTCAGATTTAGCAATGTTTTCTTGGCCAACTTCTACACTGGCTATGTATATGCAATGCTTGGTTTTGTCATCTGTGGGATGCTTTCTGTTATCTTAAAGCCTCTTATGGTATAAGGTCCATTAATAAAGTACATTTAGGATTTGTGTTTGATAGTTATAACATCTTCATTAATAATTACATGCAGACTTTGGGTGATGAAAATATATATTTTTTAAGATTTATTTATGCATGTAAGAACTGGGGTACAGGCTAGAGGTGAGTGGGGTGAGAGGATTCACCAGAGACAGAGTGGGGGACAGAACAGGCAGATGGACTTAAAAACACTGCTGAGGGGAGCAGCGGGCAAGTCAGGAGAGGTCTGTGCCATGTGTGTATCTCCCTGGCTGGGGATCAAACTTGTGCTGCAATGGCTGCAATCAGCTTCATAGGTTGCATCTTAACCCCTTATGCCACCAGGGAGGCCCAATGACAATATTTTTATTATGGTCACGATTCTAATTTGACTGCAAGATTTTCTGTAATTGCCATAACACAAATACATCTTATTAGTGCCTCTCTATAAGTCTTTCTGATAGGTGCTAACTTTCCAAGCCCATACAATTTTAATATATATGCATCCTTGTAAATAACCTTGAGAGCTATAAAATAATTCCTTTAAAAAGTCTTGTTTACCCTCAGGATTTTAATATTCCTAGCCAGATAATGAAATTTTAGATGCATGCGGAATAAGGTAGCAAGAATTAAAATAACCAACATAGATGGCTTTCCTGGATATGTATTTTACTGTGTCACAGATAGTGTAATCTGACTCGGTGCCATATGTTTCAGTGAGCACTGGGGGGTTGGGTGGGACAAATCAATGTCTTTCCACATCTGTTATATATTAAGAAGGCAAATAACAAAAATTACGATCACTGTGAGTAAACAGCACTACTTATTGCCTTCGGCAAGATATTATTTGCTAGTTTCAACAGTAGGATAACCAAAAAAAAAAGTATTTCAAGATTAGTGTTTATTTAAACTGGGACTTTTAATACTTAAATAATTTAGCATTCAAGGACATGGTAAAAAATTAAGTAAAGCAGAGATTTCTACTTCTGTTGTTGAAATCCTACACATAAAGTTTTTTAAACTCTCAGCTGTATTAAAATGAACAAGAAACAGTATAGTTATACCTTTCATGATGATCTCTTTGGAGTAACAATGTAAGTGACTCAAGCTCTACACAAAGCACTGTTGTGTGTTACTTCACATATTTGGAAGTGTGTGAAGTAGGTTTGTTATTTTATAAAAGAAGCAATCAGGGATCTAGAACGTCACATTTATGATGTAGCAGAGCTAGGCCTTAAGCTCTCTTATTCTGTTTCCCAAGTTATGTTTTCTACCATTATAACTGTTGGCAAAAAGTTATTGATTAAGTGTATTCTGCTTATTAATATTTTTCTTAAATTGTATTCTACTGATCACATGTCTGCAAGCCAACTCTGACCCAAATACTGGCACTTCTTTTTAGTTCTGCTGGCTTATGATATAAAAATTTCAATGGAATGATTTTAATACAGGATTAGCATGTAAATGAACAGGTCAAAAGATTCTTTGATCTTAATAGTTTAAAGACTTGTGATTCTCAGTAGAAAAAAATGATATTAACTCTCTAAGTTTCTATTTTTCCTTAAATTTGAAGAAAACCAGGAGTAAGTTGAAATTAAAAGTTGATGGCTACTAAAATAATACCACAATGAAAAAACAACCCAACTGATAAATATAATTAACCAAAAAGGAGATCCTGAAGGCCATAAATACATGGAAAAATGTTCATCATCACTTTTAATAAGGGAAATGCACATTAAAACCACAATGAGATATCATCTCACACCTATGAAAATGGCACATATTAAAAAAAAAAAAACCAACAACCATTGAGAGGATACAGAGAAAGAGGGACTTTATTACACTGTTATTGGTGGGGATGTTAACTGGTGCAGCCACTTTGGAAAGCAATCTGAATTTAACTTAGAAAATTTAAAATGGAAATACCATATGACCTCACATCCTGGGCTTCTAGGCAAAGAATGTGAAACCATCAACTCAAAAAACTATGTTCTACAATGACTAGCAGAACTATTTACAATGGCTAGGACTTGGAAACTACCTAGATGCACAATAGAAGACTGGATCCATAAAACATGGTATATGCAAATTTGGAATACTATTCAGTCATAGGAAAGATGAAATATAATTTACAGAAAAATGCAAGGCTTCCCTGGTGGCTCAAAGCAGCACTACGAAGCTATTCGTAGCCACTGCAGCATGAGTTCTATCCCCAGCCAGGGAGCTGACCCACATGGTGCAGCAGACCTCTCCTGTCTCAACTGCTGCTTCCCTCAGCAGTGTATTTCAGTCAATCTGCTTGTTCTGCTCCCCACTCTGTCTCTGGTATATCCTTTCATTCCCAACATGTCTGACCTGTACCCCAGTTCTTGTATGCATATATATAAAATCTTAAAAAAAAAGAAGAATGACAAAGACAAGAAATGGACATTTACAACTGATAATTCAACAAAGTAAACTGCTTATAAATATTAGCTGTCATTAATAAACAAAGTGAGAGTCCTGAGATTAAGGAGGGGGAAGGAGCAAAGGAAAAAGGCATATAAAGGATTGAAAAAGAGTTATCAAAGGACTAGAAAAAGTGGACATTTCTGAGCATAGAGGGAAAACAAAAACCAGAATGGCTACTTTCTAATAGAATTCTCAATTCTCTTCCTTAGCTTATTTCTCTTAGTCCTCCCACCTCTGGACTCCTGATCTGGAAAGAAAACTGTTCTACATGATCTAATTCCCCTTGTTTTTCTTTCATTAAATATTTTCATTTTGACAGGGATACAGATGTTGAAAGACAACTAAAGCTGTTTTTCTTTGAGAAAATACAAAAGTAAGTCATTGTTTCCACTTTGAATGGTGGGTGTTGAGAACTCAAGGAACTACAAAGAAGCACTACAAAGAAAAAAAAGATGTGCTCAGGGAAGCTTGTCCAGTCCAAAAGGAAAGGATTTGTGACCTCTTGGGACTGACTCAGAAATGAAAGGAAATGGAGAAAAGAACTTACCTCTAGCCACAAAGATGTGGAGGGGAATATATCAATACAGATATATATGAAAAATGCTTTAATCACTCTTATAAAATAGCTCCCACCCCATCAACACACCTTTAATATATAATTGAAGTTACAATTATAGGGTTGATTCGTAGGAAATTATGGGGCATCTACAAAGTTTAGGGTGATGTATGAAGCTTAGGATAACTCTGAAATGGAAAATAGTCTGTAAAACAGAAAACAGTAGTTCTTTCTTATACTGGATGGCAAATAAGACTGATCAGGTTTACCTAATGCCTATTTTTCTACTGATTTTGGAGACAGGGGCAGGAATCAGGGCTTTTCAGAGATTGGATCCTTACTACCATTGAAAACCAGTATTTGGGTTGAACAGTGTTGTCTTAACACGGCAAAAGAATAGATGAATATGAGCTAAATCCCTACTGAAAAACACTTTCTATGAGCTATAACTCAAGTGATTTATCAAAGCCTTAAAATGATAAAATAATGCCATTTGCAGCAACGTGGAGGGAGCTAGAAGGAATTATGCTCAATGAAATAAGTCAGAAGGAGAAAGAAAAATATTGGATGGTTTCACTTATAGGAGGAATATAGGGGAACCAAATAAGACATCAGTGTAAAAAAATAATAACAGTACAAAACACAACAAAACAAAAACAGACAATTATACATCAGAGACATCCTGCAGGGGAGGAGGAGGGAGAGGGATCTGTGGGAGGGAGGGAGGGCATAGGGGACTGAGGTGATGGTGCACAGGTGCATTGGTGAAGGAAACTCTATGGGGACTACACCTGGGGTGGGGGGGGGAAGCAAATATTGTTTAAAATGAACAATGATGTAAAAAATAAAGAGCCATGAAACTCAGAGATTTTATGCTCACACACTTCATAGTCCTGTCTGTTTTGTTTTTTAAATCTCTTTCCCTCTTGGCCATCCTTGCCTATTCTGTTTCTTTTCATATGGCTTGGCTAATTAAGTCCAATATATGGTGAAGGAAATATATTCAGAATTGATAGAAAATCAAGTGTAAAGTAAATAGAAGAAGTTATTATACTCTCTAAATCCACTAAGCACATCTGGACATCTTTATTTTTTTAATATTTTATTTTATATAATTCTTACATCATTTTTCATCTTTGTACAATGTATGCATTTTCATTTTGGTTATATTCCCCATACAATTGCACCCCCCTC